GACTGCACCCTCTATGCGCTTGTAGCATCATCACATGCAACGTGCTACCAAGACTCCCTTGACTGACTGCAGATTACTACATGGTAGGTATATATTCGTCATTCACCACTGTAGAGCTGTAGGAAAAATTTGGAGCACAATGAGTCTTCTCTGCTTGCCCCTTTCATAAGAACACAAACTGTAAGAAGAATCCTAATTCGGAAGCAGTGATGTATTGCAGTGAAAATGAAATTTAAATTCCTCCTTCGGGAAAGAAAGCTTGTGCTATTTATACAGAACCTGCCCCCCTCCCTCAGCCTTCCACCCAGAAGGTGTACGTCCTATGCAAAATGGCTCACACAGATCATTGGAACTGTTTCTGATGATGATGATGATGATGATGATGATGATGATTATAACATTTCTATGCCGCCCCTTGCCGAAACCTTAGCATCAGTAGAAAGTTACTGGGGAAAACAATGGCTCACTGAGATGGGAGAACACATTTTGCACACAGAAGGTACCAGGTTTGATCTGCGGTGTCTCCAGTTAAAAGCATTTCCAGTTATAAGTATGAGAGAGTTGCTGCCAGCCAGAGTAGGCCATGCTTTGACTGATGGATAAAATAGGAAGGATCAAAGGGTGTCCTTCCACTACTGAAGTTGCACTAGTAGAAATGAGCAATTCCAGTTTCACAGGTACACCACGTGTCGAACTAGCAAGCACTTTTGATGTTGCACAAGCATTGGTTTCTGCTAGCATAACCCTAACACCACTACCGGTAGTGCACTGTGGAGCCTTCCCATTAACAAGCATCCTATTTGTTATGCAGTAGATAGCCCGGTAAGCTAGGCTATCTAGAGCAGCATGGGAAAGGTTCCTATTTTCCCCCCTACTGGGGGAAAAGACAGCCAGATCCTGTGATATATCAGTGGCTACAGCACAGGGAAGAAACTGAGTAAAAGCAGAGAAACTGAAGGGAGGACACAGCAAATCTCCTTTACCTGCAAACCAGGAAACCTGTTCAGACCTCTGCTTGTCCCAGAGCCTTCTGCAGTGGGTGGGCTGGTTCACATTATATACCAAGGGCATTTGAAATTATCTGATTACTACTAATCAGGAGTAAAATGGAATATTATCCTACTAATCAGGATAAAATGGAATATCAGGAGTAAAATCAAATAATCCACAGTGGCCAAGTTCACACAACATGGCATAACCTCCATTCACCCCAAGGGGGAGGTGTTTATTAAGAAAGGTGGACAGGGATGCATGGCAGTTCATCATGGGTTATTTAACCCACAATAATCCACTGCATCATGTAAACCAAGCCAATGTTTAAGATTTTCACTGAAGGGTTCATCAAAACCCTTCTTGGCAGAAGTAGAAAAATGGTGCTTTAAGAGCATAGAAAATTAAAATAAGCTAGAGTTCTCAAGAAACTAGATATATGATACATGTTGTTAACCAGTATTCTGCTAAAACCCAGTCAGTACAGAATTTTGGATTTGGACATTGAAGGCAATGGTCCAAATCACTACCTGAAGCAAACTGAGCAGCTTAAGTGGATTCCGGGAGATGGTGGAGGACAGGAAGGCCTGGAGGAGTGTTGTCCATGCGGTTGCAATGGGTCAGACGCGGCTGTGCAACTAACAACATTTTCCCTATAAGACTCCAAGATAGCTTACATATTTATATAATTCTGCTCTTCCTCTCCATGTTATTCTCATAGCCTATTCTGTGAGGTCAGCTAGGAGGAGAGCGAGTGACTGACCCAAAATCACCTAGTGCACTTCATGGCCCACGTGGACTGGACCTCTGAGCTCCTGAGCCCCAGTTCAACACTGTTACCTCTATCCCATACTGCCTCTCTTTATTCATATTTATAGTTTTTCCGGGGTTCGGTCAGATAAGAATTGTAATGAACTTTCCACATTAAGGCATTAACATCATTACGTAACAATCCCTGGCAAAGTTTGCAGATAGCATAAAACACAGCTCCAAGAGGCACCACTGTAGGTTATTTGTCTGCTATCATCAAGGCACCTGGCCTCCAAACCTGACTGCAGCACTGCTTTTATGTTTCATATTTCCGAAGGGGAAGAACATATACTTGGTACTATCTGGCGGACAGCAAGTTTTGCTTTTTTTTTAATTCCATGTATGCATGCATGCTAGGAAGCCACAAAACTTTAATCACCCAGTGTATCAACCCTCCCAAACCTGGTACCCTTCAGAAGTTTCTTTCTTCAACTCCAGCCAACATGTTCAATGATCAAAAGTGCTGAACCTTATGATCCAAAATATCTGAAAGCCAACAGACTAGGGAAGCCTGCATTATAAAGGACTTGTTCCTTGTAACAGAAACAGAAATATTAATGTAACCTGTAAGCTTACAAGTCAAGAATCCTTGCCAAAAGAGTTCTAGAATATAGGGTCCTAGAATACTGTGAAGGGCCATGCAAAGAAATTCAGTAAGGGCTGAATCAGAATTGGAATGAAGTGTCGTGTGGGTGTTGTCTGGCATCAATGGAAAGGTTTCTTCCACTCCAAGAAGCAGGTCTCCAGTGTTTGTGTGAGTCTTCCATCAGGACTATGGCAGGGGGAAAGGGACAGATATGGGTTATTGCCAAATCACTCCTGGTATTGATCTGGCTTGGCTCCCCATGCACTAGCTATTTGTGAAAGAAAAATGAGCTACACAACACCAAACTATATGAAAAACGTGTCTGCTTTGGCTCTTGATCTGAGGCATTTTTTCATATGGGGTGATATACTCTTTAAAGTAAACAGTGAACACTGCTATCTGTCATTTCCCAGAAACTGACTGAGATCCAGATCAATGGTTATGAGGCAACTCTTTTTATTTTAAGAGCTGAATTTGTACCATATAATGTATCTAAATCTATTCCATGGCACTACATAATTTACCTTCTGGAGTGAGGCTTCTCAGCTTTACTTTGATGCAGTTATGCCTCCAAGAGAGGATTTCCATTATTATGGAGATGAAGTACCTTTAATGGCTGCAATAACGTAATTGTACCCCAGGGTAAAATTCCTAATAATGCAATTGTATAGCTCTCAAGCACCAGTAAGAGATACCTTCAGGGCAGGTTATTCATTAAGGGTTCCTTGTACAGTAGTTCTGCTTCATGAGAAGAATAAGAAACCTAAAGCAATAAAGCTCTCTTTTTGAGAGAGATTCTGCCTCCTGGGCAAGCAACTAACACCACACTTGCTTCTGCTTCACCATCTGTGGCAGCCTCCAAAGGAAAATTTCCAGGAGCACACAAAGATCCATGCTAGTCCTTTCGCTAGACATTCACTCCAAATATGTTTCTCCACAGCATGCATCCAAAATAAGCTACTGATACATTTTTTCATAAAACAGCCATACTTTGGATCACCTCCAGGCCTTGGTTCTAACCATGTGAACATGTATAGGATCCGAATGCCCTGAGTTGGTTTTTGTCTGTCTGTTTTGTTTTCTAGGATTGCTCTCTGCAGTGGATCTTGACAAGGCTGGATCCTGATGGGCCTGAATACAGAATTCAACTCAGGAAAGCATCTGGAGAGTTCAGGTGCTTTCCTAAGATTTTAAAGGCCCAAGTCTATTGCTCTCACCCTTGATGCATGCAAGCTTTTGGAGACCAATGCTGCCACCACATATCTTGATTTTTATCTAGGTGGACATTTTTGGTCTTCTAGATACCCAAGAGGCCCAAGGACGCTGGGATACATCTTCAGCACTAGACTGTTCTTCTCCTTGCCCCTTCCACACAGGTTTTTCTCCCCTGACCTCAGGGCAGGCATCTGGCATGGCATTTTCTGCAGCAGCTATGAGAGGGGTGGGCCAGGTGGGCCAATTCTGTGATCACAGAATCTTGCAGCTGGAACTCTAATTATCCCGGAGCTCCACAGACAAAGTCAGGAGGCCACAGGATTGTGCCTTGACACAGGCTTTGCAAGATGAGAAATTTTAAAGTTTCACTGAGAGTTTCTACTTTGTAAAAGGTTTTTAGAAGAGAGTTTTGTAGTGACACGTTTGGCATAAAGATGGATCATGCAGATTCCAATAGGAAGGGATCTTTTTGCTTTCTTTAAAATGAATATTTCTTCTGCTATCAATTATTTTGAACTGATTTACTGTCTGCGTTTCCCTGCTACTTGACGTGGGTAAACTACCTTCCACCAGTAACAGCTGCCATGGTCAACCTCAAGTTTCTCTAAATAAAGTCTGTGTATGTATAAAAAGTGTTATTACAAACACACCCACATCATTCATTGCTTTGATGTTGTGAGAAAGTTGTGAGTCAGCTTTTAGAATACATAAGACTAAAGCACTGAATTATCCTAATTCTTTCAGTGTTTGACTTCAGCATTATGGAAGGGATGCAATTCTGCTCCATTTTTTTCTATCACAAAATTTTAAGATGCAGCTTCGCAGAAACATAGAAGCCATAGTTTTGGGTGAACTGCAATATTATCATGCAAAATGAAGTAAACTATAGATAATATCATCTAGATAATAAATGAGATGACACACAAACATGAATTACATGTCTGTGTCTGTGCAAACTTAGAAATCAAGATGAAGCTCCTCTAAAATAAGCTTTCAGCTGTCAGCTTGCTTAGTTAAACAAACTATGACCTGTACATAGAGTAGATAAAATCCATACTTCTTGCTATGTGTACTGAAAGCAAACCCATCTAATCCATCTTCTTAAGCTAAGTCCAAAACATTTTCTCAAACCATACATTATAATTGCCCAATTAACCCCCAAATATTTCTGTTTACAAGGATGCTCAAAAATCATAAGGAAGTTAAGTAATAGGCCTCTTCAAGGTTTTCATTGAGTTGGAGTTTTGACACCTGTTTTCCTGATACTATTCAAAATAAAGTGCTGTTCTTCTGCCTGAACGTTCGGTCTTTTCCCATTTGTTTTAGGTCAATTTTCATGGAATGTACCGAGAAATTTCACAATCTATTTATGCACGCAACAGTTATTGTGAGTTTTTACCTCTCATCTTCTCTTAGGATCTCTTTTCCTTTCTTCCAAGTAAAGGTAGGCCTTGGGGAAGCTTTAGGCTTACATTCAATGGTAGCATCACCACCAACTTTAACCAGAGTTAATCTTTTCAAGAAGTTTTTGGAAAAATCTGGACCTACAGCTGAAAAACAACATGGGAGAGGGCTTAGAGTCAATGGGAACCATCATCACACTTTTTAATGTTGAACTGTTTGCTGAAACATCTCACTATTGATCACATAAAGTTCACACAACTAACCTCCATAGTCCTTGCCCACCACTGATGAGACAAGCTGTGCTAATAAACACTGGGACAAGCCAACAGCTTGGATTAAAAAATGTCATTGCATAGCTGGAAAAAACACCTGGGATCTTCATTTTTGGCAGTTTCACTACCTGTTGCACCCCATGATTCTGGGGGTTGCAGGGGAGGTAGGCTTGGAATGGCACAAAATGCAATATACCAGGTAGCAGAAAAATCAGGCCCACAGATTTTGCATACGAGACCACAGTGTCACAGAGCTATATCCTTGGATTCAGACAAATAAAATTATTAAATGCACTTTCAACACTAAGATTGCAATGATGCCACAAATGCTGAATGTGATGTCCCTTGTGTGTAACATTCTGTTGGTCCCTGCAGCTTTAACAACTAGGATACGTCTATACAAGAGGTCCTGGATTGCAGGGCCATTACAAAGCCTCCAGTACTTTCTCCTCTAAAGGAAACTTAACCTGTAAAGATAACTTGAACTTAGGAAAGGTGATGCAGGAAGCAGCACTGGTCTCCCTGGAAGTTGCATGTCCCTCCATCCATGCTCAATACTTATACATAAAACAGCCACCATGAAACAAACTCCATGGTCAGAATTTCCACACACCGTTTTTTTCCATGGAAGCAATACGTACATATGTAGCTGAGAGCCAATGAATGATAAATCTTCAAGTGATAAAGCTGACAAATGGTGCACATGGATGCACAAATAAGCACAATCTCTGAATGGCCACCTTTGTCAAATAAAGTTTGGCCTTTCAAATCTGAAAGTGTGAAGATTCTAATATCTTCTCCCCATATCATGTACATGCATATAGTGAGCCGATGTGGTGTGGCAGTTAGAGTGTTGGACTGGGAACCCAGAAGATTTGGGCTCTGGGCTCCACTCCCCCATGAAGCTCTTTGGGTGACTTTGGGGCAGTCACTTTGTCTAACCTACCTCATAGGCCTGTTGTGCTGATAAAATGGAGCCATCTAAGCCTTACATTCCTTGCAAGTGGAAAAAGACAGCATATAAAAACCATGTGGCAACAGCAGCAGTAGTAATGATTATCATCTGTCCAATTCAAAATGATGCGATTTGGTACATGGCAGGATTGTAAGTGTGGCACCTATTTATAACTATTAGATCCTCCACATTCTGCTCCAGTCTACAAACTGCTTCCATATATCAGCCTATTCCACAGCCCCTGCTTCTCTCTTCCACATCTGCCCTCTAAAACTTCACCTTGACAACCAGAAAGGCCTGAAAATGAAGCTGGAATATGTTGTGCCTACAGATACTGTTTTTGCTGAAATAGTAGATGTCCTGGGAGATGCCCCACATCACTGCATCATGGCGGACCTGAGATACCCATCCCTTCCACCCCAGTATTATTTCCTCGTAAGTGCTGGCTAGCAGTGAACTGCCAAATCAACCTTATGGCATGACAAACAGTAAGCTGTAACCAATACAGCTTGTGAGCACTTGTAACCATTTCAGTCTGTGCAGTTATTGCTCCCATGAAACATCTAGTAAAAAGTATTTTTGCTGCAGCAACATACAGAAATAACTTTCTATTTGGGACAGATTCTTTGTGAAGTGGATGGCAGAGGAGGGGAAACAGGACAGGCAACCATCAAAGACATCCAACATCCGAATGGAAACGCTGGTTGAAAAATCCAGCTGTGTAGGAATAAGGTTGGGAAGGAGAGATGGCAAGAACAGGATGTGGGAACGAGAGATCACTGAGAGGTATGGAGGTGAAAGAAAGATAAGGAGGGAGGGAGGGAGGTCCCATTGCTGGTTCAAAAGCCACAAGGCTAATAGTGATAGGAAAGTTATAATAAAATCAAATCTGCTGGAAAAAAACAACAAAAACATTTTTTTTAAAAAATCTAACAAAATGCACTACAGCAGTTGAGCTCAACTTTGCATTCAAATTTATTTGCTCATGTCAAACGCCATCTATCTAACCATCACCGAATTTCTTGGCAGCCTAAAAAATATATCATAACCAAACATCAAGTGGCAAATGAGGCTTTTGTGAATAATGAAGCAGAGGGATATTATATAGAGGAATGATAATTAGGCTTTCTTCCTCTGCCTACATTAAAAATTATCAGTAAAAGGCAGATGCCAGCATTACTAAAGAGAATATAGCTGCTTAATTCAATGTGGAGTATGTTATTGTACATGGACTCTAATTAAAGCACTGTCTAATTATAGTAGCCTTCTCTGCTGTGCATTTGTTGGACAGCAATGCTTCATTCCAGGTTTAATGTTTAATATATTTAGGACACCTATTCATTTCATGTTCAATTTAAAGAACCATAGCACTGAAACAACCTTTTACAGGAAGGAAACATATTTCTGGAGGCTTAGTAGAGTCACTGAAGGCTGAAGAGAGTTTCCCAAAGTTTCTTGAAACAAAGGTGAGCATTCAGATCAAGAGGAAGGGGCTTGTCTCTTGCATCATGAGCACCACTGCTACAAGCATCTTAGATCAGGATCAGGTACAAAGCCAAGGCCTGGATGCTGAGCCACTCGGCAGGAGTGGCAAAAAGTCTGTCCCCTTTGCGATCTTACCTGTGCTGCCATCAGTGACTGACCCTCCGCTGATGATGCCCAAACAGCACATTGACACAACTGGCATTTGCTCACTACACTTTTCCCATTACATTTTCAGTCCCTAAAAATTGTGCAAAGGTCTTTGTATAGTTACTGCAGTATTATAGATAAGCTATCTTACAATTAGACTTTGACCCAGTGGCAGATCAGTGGTCCCCTTCTGCCCTGTGCACCCCCACTCTGTACTGGTCACTGAGGACACAACCCACCTACTTACTGCCCAAGCACCTATCCAAATCCTCCATGTTGGCCTTGGCCTATGCCCATGTTCCTCCAACAGAGGCAGCCATCTTGCTGGCTCTGCCCACCTTTGCACTTGGCTATGACTTTGGCTTCCAGCTTGTCCCACTGTATCAGTACACATTGAGGGATGGCATCAGAAAACTACAGAGTTGCGGCCCCAAATCACATAAAACTATTACAAAACCTTGACATGTCTTTGGGGAAGATACTATTTGGGGAATTGGGGGAATTCATAATTAACAGAGATGGCAGCTTCCTAGGTTTTAAGATGGAGACACTATTGAGTACAGTAAAATTTACTCCTAGTGTGGGCAGAATTGCAGCCTTACAGAGTACAGCCTTGTGCTACCTTTAAATGGTGCTCAAAAAGCACAGCATGAATGGATGCCTTCGGTTTCCCTGAGGGAAAGACAACACCAAGTTTATATACACAGTAACTTCCACTTCTCAAACTGCGAAAGCTGACAAAGGCATTCAAGGATGGAATTAGATCCATATTCAGAGAAGCATCCAGCCACTTAGCTCTACAATCAGTCCTGAGTGGAAGGCTCTAGGATTAGCCTGTCATGCCAACACGTAGGGCTGGGAAATTCCTGCCTGAAACCTAGAGTACCACCGATTCACACATGAAACTGGAAGAACAGAGATTTCAGATTTTTAGCATCAGGTGTACTTTTCAATGAGAATCGAGACACGGCAGCTGATTTTGACATCACAAATAGTTCCCCGAGTGAAATTTGGAAGCATATTAACACAGAGCTCTTCTGCAGGCCTCAAGTCCACCATTGACCAATATGTTGTTATCCTACGGCCCATAATGCTTTACTAGGTGAAGAAAACCAGTCCTTTCTTTCCACTAATTATCTCTCTCAACTTTTAATATCGGCAACAGGCTCTATGTCTGCCCCCCACCCCAGATCTGTTGCTTTTCCACCTCAGGTGTGCTGTACTTGTATTTTCAATATTCCCAGCCAGTGGGACCATTCGTTGGGAAGGATGGGTTTGTGGACCGACACACTTAGAAGGCACCAGTCTGGAGAAGGCTGTTCAAGGTGGGACTACCGTTAACTCCCTCTCAGTTCCAGCTAGTGGAAGGTCCCCCAGATTTCAGAAAAGTCTTTCTCTGAGCTGGCATCCCCCAGCTCTTCCGAGGACTTACTGGTCTTTGCACAGCCAGCAGGGTGTCATCAAGGAATCACAGAAGAGGACCTTCTTGGTAGTGGCACCTGCACTCAGGAGTACCCTCAGGAGTACCCTCTAGCTGTTGTTATTCCAGCACAGATGCAGTGGTCCTCTTTAAATGCTTCTTGAAGATCTCTTTGCTTGCACAGGCTTTCTCTGAGTGGTAAGAGTTGATGGCAGTGCTCCATTTTATCCTTGTCTTTCCTATGCTTTTTCAGAGTTCCTTTATGGCACACTCACTGTTGTGGTTCTTGTGGTTCCCTGACATTTCCAAGAAAAATTCTCAGAAAGCAGCTGTAGAACACTGAGTAAATTGTGCCTCGTCCGCATGTCTCCTTTCCTTTTTCTTTTCTTTTTAAATATTTATATAGATTTGGTCTTTGTTATTGTCAGGGCCCAATAAGTGGCTCTTATCTGATTCTAATTTGTTGTAGGGAGCTTCAGCTTGGTTTTAAAAATTATTTACCAAAAAGGTATCTTCCTTTGTCATATATGAACAAAATATATTTTCAGTATTTTTAATGAAAGAATGACACCTCTCCCTTTTTGTTATAGAAATGCATTTAGGCTACATAAGAAGCAACTCCCTTTGCTGCTTTTAAATGTTCTTTTTTCAACTGATATTTACACCTTATAGAAAATCTTAATAACTATAGAGTTCTAAAAAGGATCATGGACTTCAATGGCTGCCTCACAATAGGAAATTAACAAAACAACAGCTGCAGAGACTGGCAGTGTTTCAAGTAACATTTTTTTATCTGGAGAAATGGGTTGGTCTGCAAAAACAAATCAAAATAAATAATTAGGAGGGTTTTTTTAGAGCTGTTAATTTTTGTGTGTGCTTGTTTTTATAGTCAAAACTTTTTCTAAAAGAAGAAATGTTTTTTGACACTTTAACACTTTCAATCTACACAATCTTTTTGTGTAGTCCCCTAAACCTCCTGGACCTAACTATTTTGTGATGTGGGATAAAAGTTTTCAAAAGAGAACTTTCAATTTGGAATGGGGAGGAGACAGGAATTTGCTTCCCTGAAAGGGGGAATGAAGAGCCAACAGAGAGAGATTATAAAAAGTTTCCTGGTAGGTTCAGGGTATCATGGCACCAAGCCACAGTGGTGACTTTTTCATGGCAGATACATCTCCCGCCCCCAGTAATAATTGCATCTGTCCCCTGCCTCTAGGGCATAAGAGGCAGAGTAAATGTCAGTTGGCGGCTACTAGGAAAAGTGTCCACCACCATCTGTGCCTACATTTTTAGAAACAGTTGAAGAAGTAAGCAATGAAGAAAATGTGCCATTGCCTCCCAAAATCCATAGTGCATTGAACCAGTGCCACAAACCTTTTAGCAATATTCTCCCAAAATTTGCCTCCTGAGAACTAGAGATTATTTTTATACCATCTGCTTCCTCAAAATATGGGAGAATTTTATGGGTGTTGGTTTACATCCTCTGTACCATTGTGGGAGGGTGGCTTAGCTAGGGAGGTCCCAGAGAGATCAAACCTAGGGAAATTCAAATGAAAGTATTTTTCTAATGCAGGGGCAAGCAACTCATGGCCCCCACATGTTTTGGCCTACAACTCTAAGCTCCTCTACCATTGGCTATGCCAGCTGAAGTTGATGGGAACTACTCACCCATCCTTTGATGTGTGTAACACATAAGATAGACATAAAATAAAAATCACTTCACCCATTCTAGTGGGTATATTCTAAATTTATCCCCCTGAATGCATCCATGTCTGTGTTGCTTTTAGTGCACTGAAACATGTGGCCAACACTGCTTCTTGTGGGGGTAAATTCTGTAGAGTGCATTACGGCTCACATTTAGAGGTTCAGCAAATGCGTCCCACACCTACATTTGTCAGAATGTTTGGAAAACCATAATTCAAGGATGTACTAGGTGATCCGGGTTATGCCGTGCTCCTTTCTTTTTCCATGCTTTCAAGGCGGAATTACAGGGTTACTTTATTGATTTTTTAAAAAACATTTCTATATTGAGCCTATAGCCAGTCTGCATTCTGGACGGGTTACAACATTTAAAATATAAAACAAAACCCAAGATCACAATAGGATAAAACCAAAACCAATTTACAATCATGATCAATAAAAACAAAATATATAACCAATAACAGTAACAAACAGAATACGAAACCAGTTACAACAATCAATCAAACAAACAAATAATCCACAGTGCCACACAAAATATAAAATTTCAACAATTAAAATACTTAGAACATAAAAAGGTTTCAACTTGGCACCGAAAGGTGTAGAACACTGGCCAGCACCTCTCTGGAAAGCTGGTTCCAAAACTGAGAGTCACAGCTGAAAAGGCCCTTCCCCTAGTAGCCACCTTCCTTATATCATTTATAGGTGGCTCCTACAGAAGGCCCTCTGATGACGAACTTGGGGTCTGGGCAGACTTTGCTGGTGAGGAGAGACTCCTGGAGACTTCAAGTACTTTTAGTATTCGTTTATTCACCAATATACAGATCAGCCAGGAGGGAAGCCTAGAGGTGCACAGGTGCAGTAGACTGCAAAAGTGACAGAAGCGAAGACTTCCATTGCTCCAGGAACTATGAGTTGCTTTTTCACTGTCTGCTGAAATACACATGGCTTCTTTCAGCTCCCATTATGCATGCAAATGTGGCTTAGAAAGAGGGCTAGTAGATAAAGAGAAGTGATTGGCCATTTAGGGTGTCACCTGTTATTAACCATCTACCACCTCCTCCCTTGGCCCAACAAAGTAACAATGCCTGGTAAGAGGCTATGGCTAGCCCTGCTGTGGGGCATATTATGTTCATTCTCCCCCACCGTCAAAATAGGGTAGATAATATTGTAACCTTGCTGCTTTTCACCCCTTATTTTTTAAACCATTCAATCAAAGTTCCCACACTGGACTGCACCCAGCCACTTCTAATTCTTCAATAAATATGTCACAAATTATTACAAAAGGTGGAGAGAGGGAACAGAAAAATTGCATGATTGCTGGGGCATGTGTAACAGCAACCCTACTTCTAAGACAACAATCTGTGGCCCAAGATCTCACTCTTCAAACAATTAAATAAACGTGATAGCCCACTGGTGACTTTGAGCCACTTAATCACTCTCAGCCTAACCTACCTAAGAGTTGCTGTGATAAAATGGAACTATGGAATCTGCCTTCGGTTTCTCACAGAGGAAAAAAGGTAGGTTAAAAATGCAACATGGTAATAATAATATCCCCACAATAAAAGCACTTTAGTGAGATATACTGTGTAAGCATTAAGTGCAGATTTCCACTGTGCAAACATGGTTAATGAAGATCCCAGTGATGTCTAAATGCCCATCTCGATAAAGCAGGTTACATATGGATGTTCATTGGGCACAAATCTACAAAGCCAGGAAAGTCAGTAACACAGAAAGCTCTTTTTTCTACTATATATTATTAATACCCACTGCTGTTTATACTGGAATTAATACCCTTAAATGACAGGTGCTAATTTGATCTTACTGGTTTTCAAATTGTGTTCAGGGAACTCTGGAGGTTCTTAACAGGGATTCCTGGAAATTTCATCTGGTCCACATCTGGTAGTGAACTGTCCTGATTTCTATCTCCTGAATTAATGTTTTCATTGCAATGGAATTATCCTTGTTATTTCACACTTTCAGATTTTGCAATGCAGCTTTTGGCTTTAAAACTGTAGCAAAATACATATAAAATGCCTATTTCGCCATAAGAACATAAGAAAACGCATTCTGGATCAGACCAAAGATCCATCTAGTCCAGCACTCTGTACACATGGCGTCAAACCAGCTGCCCACAGGGTAGCAGGATCCCTCTGCCTGCCCATTAAATAAGTACAAATGTGTATTTTTAAAATAATGAAAAGAAAATGTGCACACATATTCTTGCATGTTTTAAAGTGCAGATCAATGAGGAAACTGGAACAGAAGTATGAATGAACACATGTGAAACTGCCATTGACCAAAACCATCTGATCCATCCAAACTGATTTAGCAATGGCAGCCAAGCATCCTTGAAGGCTGACGAATTCATAGACGATAAGGTTATCAAAGGCTACTAGCTATAAACTACATCCAATATCAGAGGCAGTATGTCTGTGTACACCAGTTCCCACTGAACATGAGTAGAAGGTTCTACTGCACAGGTCCTGCTAGTGGGTTTCCCAAAGGCTGCAAGTTGGCTACTGTATGAACAGAATGCTGGACGAGATGGATCTTGAGTGGATCCAGCAGTGCTCCTGCGTTCCTATCATGCAGCCAACAGTAGAAATGCACCAGGAGAAGCTAGATAACAGACATGTTGCAGGATCAAGCAGGCACATTACCACATAGGTCTGGGCATAGGAGAGACTCAGCAAGAAATGAGCATGCAGCCTAGACAGGTACAGAAAGCAGATTAATCTATAGGTGATGTGCAGTAGCTCCGCAGGCGCTCCTGATCTCCAATTGTTTAATAATAGCAACAGCCATGACAGACAGAATCATGCTGTTGACATGACAAATGCTTGATGGGGAGGGGGGAGACCAAGAGAACGTTTGACTGGGTTCAGTCTTCATGGGAGGGGGAAAAAAAAACTGGGCTGAAAATGTGCAGAGAGATATCTTTGTGCTCAGCATCCACCTTCCACCCTCTACAGCTACAACTGCACCCGCATGTGACTGATGGACCTCAGGGTTCAAGTCAAAATAAAATTAGCAGTAGGTCTTATGAGCCTGCAGCCTGCTCATCTTGTCCTAAAACATTGCCACAGAATCCTCTGAAATATACTCAGATTTCAGAGGATGGGGAAATGCAGGAAGGGTTCCTGGAAGGCGGGGAAGATACAAAACACTGGGTCCTATCAGCCATCTCTTATACTGCACAATACTGTTTTGCACTAAAGCATCTGTCAAAACACAAAAAGAATATTGCTTGAACAGCTGGAGCCAGAATCTATATATGAATGCAAATACAAAATATTTATGACTTTTTCCATGTATGCAAATGATTATTGCAATTGCTCTGAGCTGGCATCTTGCCAAGACATGCAAGACATATACACACACACATTTGATATCAACAAATACCAATTACTTGTGGACTTCATCAAAGACAGCAAAACAATTTAGGCTAATAGGGATTTGCAGAAGTTAAAAGGAGCCCACCGATTACGCTCAATTCTGCGCTGACATAGATGACCCCATGCCTGTTTTCTGCCACGCACTGGTACATGCCGGTGTCTGACAGGTTCACACTGGTTATGGTGAGAGCTCCATGTTCTATTTGAATTCTTTCCTGCAAAATGGCAAAAGAATATTACAAATAAATAAAAGAAGCCTGGCTCTAGAATTTACACATAGCAGCGGCCATATCATTATTTAACGAGGAAGGAAGGGATCAAAGTGAAGCTGGAAAAACCAAATTTATAAACAATTTACAGGATGCAATCTATTTGTCAACAAAATTTATATCATATTAAATACTAAATGGAAAAACCAATAGAAGTGCTCTTGCTCTCTCTTGAATTCTCATTGATTGAACATCTGAACCATTTAGATTAATAACCCCTTCAAGTAGATAAACTTGTATCTAAAACTGCAAATGCCCTGTAGTGCATTATGGCCTAACACAGCCAGGCAAGTTCTGCAGAACATTTGGAAGAGCAGAACTATTAGCTTTCAGCTCCCTTGAAGGTTAATGGGGAAAGTAATCGCATTCAGTGGTGCAAAGCAATTGTATGTGGTTCACCCAATGGAATAAAACACCCTAAAGATGTAAATGTTAATTATGTAAGGAGCCTGACTTTAGTCTAATGTGATTTAAGTTCAAGACCATCTGCTAGTGACCAGCATGAAGCAAGTGAAATTAGTATGTGGAACAAAAGACCCTACCATCATTTGTCAGCCTAAGGATATGGAGCTCATGCTATCAGTTCTCAAAAGTACAGCTATGTGTTTCCCTGCTCAACAGGAGTTTGACTATATTTTAACAACCAAACGTGCAACCAGGAGAATATTTAAAAAGCGAGTGGGTTACTCTTTGGCTATGGGATAGCAATTTAATTTTTGCAACAATATTCTTTCTTGTCAAATACCTGATAATAGAGACTAACTTCTGTAGTTCTTTCCTACATAATTGGGACAATTACCCCTGATAAGACACAGAGTAGAAGGGGTACTGATGAGATATTCCCCCGCCCCCGCCCCTTCCCTAGATCATTAATTTTCAGGCAGTTCATTCTGCCACTACTAATAGGAGGTCAGCTCTCCTGTTGATCTTAGCAGATGCCTGAAGAAGTGGCGCAGGGTTACTGTTACAGACCAGAGGGCTACTTTGCATCCAGTGATGTTCAATTACAAAATAAGAAGCTGAGAAATGGAATAGAAGGAAAGAGTTTTATAGTTGGATTAACTGTATTCCCATTCAGTCTTTGCACAGTTCACACTTGTGTCTTTTGTCAGTTATACCTTCTTTTCCTGCAGAGCTATAGAAAGTGAAAAATATGCAGCCATTTAATATACTTTTCTTCTTGTAGCGAATGTCCTCTGGAAATGAGTCCCACAGCTTCTACATTCCACTTGATTCAGAGAAATGCTTGTCAAAGCCAGAAAATGGCACTTAAATGCCTAACTTTCATTGAACGTTGGTTGGGAATTAGGTGCCTGAGGGTAATTTCTGCCTTTGAAAAGTATGGCTTGAAGTGTCATTGTTTTAACTACAAGGAAAGCTCAAGGTGATTCTGTGACATTCACTCAGCAGGGAAGGAAGTCTGCAATGGGACAGATGGAATTTTAAGGCCACATGACTTCATCACACTCTTTTTCAACAGCAGCAAACTATGCGGACATGAAAAGGTCACTACTTCAGTACAAATCCTTTCAAGTTAGTCCCCAAACTCAATACACCAAGGACACCAAATTGGAAAATTGCTCATACCTGAGGGAGCAGCAGTTCACCATCCTTCAACCAGCTGTACGAAGGCTTTGGTCGCCCATTTGCCTTACACTCCCAGTAGATGCTTTCCTCCATCGCCACGTGTGCATCACTTATTTTCTGAATCCAGTTGGGAGGAGCTGCAGTGACGACAGTAACATTCTTCTCAGCAAAAGTTTATTTTCTGCTTGCCATTAGCTTTCAGCTTCCTTCCTTCCAGTGCCCACATTTTTAGGAATTACTGCTAATATCGGATCATTGTGTTTTCTTGAAAGAAGATCTGATCTACTCTTCTGACATCACAAATAAGACTAATAATAATGAAGGTATTTTCTTTTGAGATGGCTTATTTTTGGATAGCAAGAAAGTTCAGCATGATGCTGGTCACAGTGCAACCACTGAGCACACCCTTTTGCTGAAATGTGCACAGCTGGGCACATCTGGAATATGCAAGTGCTTCACTAGCCATTTCCTCTTCCCAGGGAACTTTGAAGCTGAGGTGTCCAGGGAATCTCCAGGAAAGAGAATTTTGAGACCCTCATTAAACTACAATCTATCAGTTACTTTGAAGAAGCTGCGACAGTTACTCTGGTAAACTAACATGATTCTGTAGGTATAAATGATCACTGTTTCCTTTACCTCATGACATGTCAGTACAAAGCAGAAAACAAAAAATCTAGTCCATATATTAATAGATATGAATATTATTAATAATTATATTTATATATTATGAAAAATATCTATTATATTAACATGCCTTTATTATCTAAGGGAAATAAGCTCCCTCCCTTCCATAAGCTATCACACAGGTTTGCAATTGTTTGCAATTGCATTTAAGTCTCAGCCAGTAGAAACCATAAGATAAAAAGTGCAGTTCCCTTTAAAGACTACATGATTTGCTACATTATCAAGCACTTTTCTGGCTTTATGTGCTGTCAAGTCCTAAATAACAATGCCACCAGGTGAGCAGAATTATAATCTATATAAAATTTTGGAGTCAGCTAAAGCATAATTCAAAGAATTCCCTGTGTAGAAAATATTAGTTAAAGCCAATTTGATGCTGTAAGAAAGTCAGGCCTATATAAACAGAACAGTTAAACTGGATTTTCACAGTGAACCATTCTGTTAACCTTATTGACTGGAGACAAAAAGGCTGAAACATAGCAGTCATGGAACCAAAGCAATGAGCAAAAGTAAGGTGGTGATCCTTTATATACTTTTTGGGAAGTAAGTCTCATTGAAGTGAATGTTCTTTATTTCTGAATGGACATGAGTAAGACTGCACTGCATGTCCTTCATGTGGCAGTTAGAAAACGCAACACCTTGTTTTCCTTATGTCGCTCATGCATTAAGAGAAATCAACTGTTAAACTGCAAGAAGTAAGATATTTTGTAATCCCATTTCATGCCCTATAGAAAAATCAGACTCCAAGGGCATAGCAAACAGCAAACCACCATTTCTAATAGTTTAAGCTGAAAATATATGGACAGAATCTAGACAGTGTTTATGACTTAGAAGTCCAGTTACTTGCAATGAGAGATCTAACTTGCTTGACTTGCTCAGAGAAATCAATGGGCCTTGGAAATGTCCTCCAAGACAACTTGTTGTAACCACCAATAGGAAATATCTTGAGTTTAAAGACATGAGCATTACCTTGTTTGCAAGTAATGAATACAAGCCCCAGTGAACTGTCTGGGGATAGCTCAGACTGCCACACTGAAGAAACCACTAGACAGCTAAATAGCCTCTTGGATGGGAAACCATGTAAGAGCTTTGAGTATAATGGATAATGACAAAAAGTAACAAACACAATTGTCCAAACATTTAAAGAATATGTGCATATTATACCAGCAGAGGTCTCCAGGAACCTGGATATTTTACTTTTCTCTGCTTCTTTATAATCAGATAAAACAATTTCAGGTTTCTTCAACAAAGGACAACCACTTTAAAAATCCCCCAGGGGCTTAGATGAGATCAGAGGAAGGTTTGCAAGGATAGAATTAAGCAGAAAAAGCTTGATAAACAAGAAGTGTCAGGCTGAATACCAACATGATGCTGCTACTTTTAAATCCATCTCTTCCATCAGCATTTCTTGCTGATAAACCCAACAAGGCTCAGACAGGAAGGACACATTTGAATAGCTCTGTTTAGGAGAAGCAATCATATCTGGAGTTCGTGTTAACGGCAGTTAAACATCTAATTCCATGTGTGCTGTGCAGGTTCTTGTACAACAAATGATGAAAACAAATGAGAGAGAAAAGCTGAGGAACTCTTGTTTAGAAGCTGAAATGGGTTGAGAAAATGCACCAACAGTGCAATCCTATACATGTCAACTTAAAAGTAAGTAAGTCCCACTGAATTCAGTGGGTCTTATGCCCAAGGAAATGTTAATACCTGTGTAAGGGCTTCAGGAATACTGGAATGACAAACATCATGAGAAATAAAGAACATTTATGTGTACACATATGTGTATAAGAGTAACAAATTACAATGGAAAACAATTAATTAGCATCACATACAGTTTATACTTCTTGTCAGCATTATGAAAAGAAGAATCTTGAGAAAGGAAACAAAATCTCCACTAAAGAAATGGACTCTATGGATTCAAAGCTCTGCCTGAAGGTGCTTGTCAAAACATGCATTCCTGAGTCCAAGGCTATTCTCCAGCTAAGTGTGCAACACTCGGCATGCTTGTCTATTTTGGCACTAAACTGATGTCCATGGATATGAACTCCAGTAAAACAATAGACATTTTGATCCTCAGTAAAATTTCTCACATATGCTCTTCACTCATGCATGTACATTGGCTCACCTTTTAATCAGAGAGGGAAAAACAAAACAAAACAACTGTCTTACACTCACACACACAAAGTCAGAGCAGGATTCTCTTTCACTCTCATTCATTCCAGCTGAAATGACACATTTTATATACATTTATTGCAAATGCTTGTGTCTTGTTAAACAATAATAAAGATAACTAAATTCCATTGCAAATATTTAGACCACTTATGGTATTTTGCAACTGTTTCTCCCAAATGAATAAAGCACCTTAAATTTAACGTTGTTTTCTCATCATTCCCTGCAGCAAGTCACTTGCAAAGTACCTTGGAATTTCAATTAGTTTAAAAGGAAAGTGTACTACTTTATATACCCTTGTTTTTCACCATTTCAAACTGATTTTGCCACTTATCCTCTTTTCTTTTAACGCAGAACTCAGATGGTGGAATTCCAACAGGACTGGAGTCAAAGCACTCAGCAAAAAGCAGGAGGCAAATGTCAACATCCATGGATGAATCCCAAGCTATTCAAATGTACCAAATGTATGTAATATACTATAATATAGAATAAATATAAGGTAGAAACCTGGCCCCTTAATGCTCAGTGGATTCCAGGAGGCACAAAATACTGAATGTCCGCTGGGAAAGAAAAACAGGAATGGGGGTGCGCCCAGCAACAGAAGGGGAAGAGAACATTCATCTGCTTCAGCCCCTTACAGAACCTGGAATATGGCATAACTGGCTGAACAACGGGATTGCCAGAGCAGGAGCATTCCTGGGAGGGATGAGGATACACTGCTACCTTTTGCAGGTCCCTCTTCTAAGAAACAATGGCAGGTAGATACCACATTTCCCCCTATATGCTAACATGGACTGCAGTGCACTCTTTGTGGGGCTGCCCTTGAAGATGATTCAGAAGCTGCAGATTGTGCAAAATGTGGCAGCAAGATGAATAAAATGGATCAGATGGTCTGATCACATAACACCAATTATTTCACATTTGCACTGGCTCTCTACATGTTTCCAAGTCCAATTCAAAGTGTTGGTTTTAACTTATAAAGCCCTACACAGCTTGGGACCATGATTCCTGACTAATACCTCTCCTAACCTTCTGCCTGGACACTATGATCGAGTTCTGGGGCCCACCACCAACTGCTACCTCTGAGGAAGCTTCAGATGGTGGTAACAGGAAGAAGGGCCTTTTCAGTGGTGGTCCCCAGCTATGAAACAAACTCCTCAATGAGGCTTGCCTAGTGTCAACTACGCTATCTTTTTGGTGTGAGGTAAAGACTGTTCTCTGCTACAGGGCATTCAATTAGTCTACTGGGGTCTGCTATTTTTTAAAAAAAAGTTGTTAAAAATGTTTTCTCTAGTTATTCTATTTTTAATCTGTTTAAAATTTGGTTTTAAGTTTTGTACTGTACTTTTTATCTTTAATATGCTGAATTTTAGGTTATATTTTTAACGTGCTATTGTAAACTGCCCAGAGAGCTTTGGTTTTGAGCAGTACATAAACAAACAAAGAAACAAGTAAATTGAGGGAAAAACCTACTTCATCAACTGCTTAAAATTAACATTTAGTTAATTATACCCAATCTTCTCTCTCCCTAAAGAATTTTGTGCGGACTGGAGATGGGCAATATGTTGCATCAGCCTTGCAAGTAAATGCTGAGTGCTACAGAGGGTAGAACTAGTCGCTTGCAAGGGCAATGCAATAGTAGGCAGCTGTGTTCTCCACCTGGTTTCTTCTAGGATGAGATAATAACTACCAAGGCAAGCAGAAAATGATACAACAGAAGATTTGCATACATTCTGAAGATTTGTGCTTCACAAATCTGGGAGATCAACTTGCACACAGCTGGGTTGCACTGCAACCTCCTGGTTCCTGGAAGTGTGTCCTACATTCTGCAGGATTCATTGAATCTTCCTGTAATTTCAAATGAAAATAATGAACATGCATTAATCTGGGCTTTAAGTTGAATTAGTTGATCAACTTGATTAATTGATTAAAAGTTTATGCCTCAATTAAAATCAGGCTGATTAATTGTTCTCTGCCAGCAAAGACTTCCTCTTTCTGGCTCCATGCACATATTGGCCCAGCTGGACATTCCAATGCACCACAGCGATGCTTCTGCTTAAAGACAACTTTGGGTATGGCCCCTCTCTCTTCCTGGCTCCACATCTTGACTGGCCAAGCCAGAAGGGCTAGTGATGCCTCTTCTCTAAGAGACTGTGGAACCTTGGGAAGTTGGCAATGCTATGTTTGTTGTGAACTGCAGGGCAGCTGGAGAAGCCAGAGGGTGCTGGCAGCTTTGAAGGGCAAAACAAAACCCAATAGTTAATTTAGGTCAGACTGATGACTG